AGATTGACTGGTCAACCTTGATCAACACTCTCTTCTGGAATTTCAACGGTGCCGTTGGTATGTCGGTTTTTGGTGGTGAAGTTAGGAACCCAGGTCAAACGTACCCCCGCGCGATGCTGATTTCGGTGCTATTGATCGCGCTCACGTATCTGATGCCGCTGTTCGGTGCAATTGTGTTCAACTCACCGAATTGGACGACATGGGACGACGGATCATTCTCGAGCATCGCATCGGCATTGGGAGGTACTTTCCTTTCGACGTGGATCATGTTGGCATCGTTTGCAAGTAATGCAGGCATGTACATCGCGGAGCTGTTCTGTGACTCGTTCCAGATCATGGGTATGGCTCAGAATGAGCTAGCACCAACGTTCCTGGGGGCGTAAGTTGCAAGTTTTTGTGCTGTGTTTTGATTCTGCATGTACTTGTTTTCTAACAATTTAGATACTGTTCAATCTGCGATAGACGCAACAAACGCTTCAACACGCCACACAACGCCGTCTTCGCGAGTCTCATCGTCATTTTGGTACTCATCGAGTTCGACTTCAACGACATCGTCAACATGACAAATGCGCTCTCGGCCTTCTACCAGATCCTGATCTTTGCTGCATTCATCAAACTGCGCTACACGCACGCAGACCTTAAGCGTCCGTACAAAGGTACTGTATCTCCACAATGCCTAGCTAACTAGTTTTTTCTGCAAAAAACTTTGTCTAATAATTTTGTTTTTGCTGTTGACGTGGCACAGTTCCTGGAAGCATCCCTATGCTTTTGCTTGGCCTCTTGATCCCGACGGCCTTGTTGATGTACATCGCTGTGGACGTCTTCTTCACGCTGGCACCGGCGATGATCGTCCTGGGAGTCACACTGGCTGGTTTCCTGTATGCGCGATTGAAGAAGTTCACGCGATCGCAGTTCGAGGATCTGAGCTTGGACGGATAAGAGATCTATGTGTAAGTGCAAATTCAGTAGTGCCAAGAAACGAAATAAATGAAAAAAAAATGTAGCAACCAGACCAATTCATGTTTTGGTGAATCAATCCGTCGAGCGTTTAAGCTCAATTACACGTCATATAGTCTCATGACGCCATCACGCAGCAACTGCCGCATCGACCATCCCGTTGGACGGTTGTGTCCGTCGTCCGAATGGCGCCATGACCAAAAGATCCATCCCGAGTGTGCCTTGCTGAAGGCTTCGAGTTGTGCCGACGCAAACTGTTGCAGTCCATAGCGATCTTCACTCGGGAATGCACACCCTTGAGCTCCCAGACTCCACTCATCAATGAGAAGCCAATTGCCACTCCACGACGAGATTTGGTCACCGTAGCGACGCACAGCTTGCAGCACTTGCTCTCGGTTCTGCCCTTCGTAGCCCCAAATAAAATAGGGATGCCACTCGTGCCACACGTTGAAATACTTTGGATAACGCATGAAATCCTCCATGAACGGGGGACTCTGCTCAGTTAGCAACGGGGCTACAGTCAACACACAGTCGTTCCCCGTTGCACGGATCTCGGAGTATGCGCGCTCGTAGTATGCACGAAGAACATGCTGCTCGGTTGGATGCTCAGGCTCATTCAAAAGGCCAATACCAAGAAACGAAGGGCAGAAACGGTATCGCGAAGCCAGAAATTTGGCTAAATATACCGTGTTGTCCACATTTTCCGGGTATTGACCCCAATACTTGACGCCGCTGTCCACTGCAGCGCTGTGATCGCGGCCGTTCTGCGATCCTTTAGCCGCATGGATGTCTACTATCACGGCCATGTCGTATTTCACGCACCAATGGTTCACCAGTTCGTCCAAGTACCGCAAAGAATGGGGAGCAAACACTGTCCACTCTTGCTTGTTGGGGAAGTCCGTTGGGTCGAAGCCCATGATCCAGTAGCCCACTGGCACTCGCACCGTGTTGAGACCGAACCGCTTCATCTCTGCGATATCGTACTCGGTGATCCACGAGCGTCGGTGCTCATCGAAGCGCCGATCGCCCTCTTCATGGCCCAAAAACTTCATGGTTGCGAATTCTCCTTGGTTCTTGATCGCATCAGGCACACCATGCCACAGGCACGAGTCCCATGTCATCCAGTGTTCCGCAACAAGCCAGCCGCCGAGGTTAACACCGCGGCACGGGACCTCTCCGCGGCGCAGTCGAGCTTGGAGCGAGTCGGAAGCAACGCAAGACATCTGATAAGATCGGCTTCGGCTCTCGTCGAAATTGCAAAGTGAATTTGAGAATTGTCAAAATGCCAAGCCTGTTTTTGCAAGCCACTTTGGACGATGGCAACGGGAGTTTACCCACGTGCGTCGGTAGGGGCCAAAAGGTGTCTCAAGATCAGTCGTCAATGGTAGACGGTCTACTACTAGCAGACACTAGACCAGCTTGATGGCGTTCACACTACTCGTT